CAATTTTCCGTCTCGTCAATCAATCTTTCCCTTTATCCCAGTCAACTCCTACGAGCCATCGATCTCTGTAACCTGTCTGCTTTAACCAATTCTACACACTCGAACGACCCCAACAAATTTCTACAAAATATTTTTGTAAATCAGATCTGATTCCGAAATTATTTGTTGGAAGATCGTGATGGGATTCGTGTATTTCGGACACGTCAAGGCATCGGCGACTATCGCCGTCGGTGGTACGCGCCGCGCATATCTATTATAATTATTGGTCCAGCGGAGATGTCAAAGGAGAGGAGAGCTCATAAGACGTGACGACGTAACCGCTTTATGCACACATGTAGGCAAAAGGTGATCGGAAGATCAATGGGACCGACGTGCAACGGTTTAGGTATACCTACGGACGGGATCCGTGTATGGAATTCAAAGTCCTGCCATAATTTATCACCCGGCAGCGTCCCTCCGATGGGGAGGGGAAGGCAGGCTGAAGGACGCTCCTCGTTCTGAACCGGGCCCGGGGCTCGTAATCGATAACCGATATCTGGAGACAGCGCGTCATCCAAGCGTGCCGATATCGCGGCGATCGCGGCACATGACCGAACGGCGAATTCGCAATGCAAAGAGCCTCATCGACCGGATGGTAATTGGCCGTGGAATAAATTCGCGACCAATCTCATTCCGCACGGCAAACTCATAAAGTTCGCCCGGAACAGCGAAAGGAGGGAAGGGGTTGGGCGAGAACGAGCGGAATTTCTTTCATCCTAACCGCGACGATATGAAACGGACGTTTGTTCCGGATAGAGATCGATCCCATGCGGGAGAGGGCGTCTCGTCGTTGGAACCCGTTTATTGGCCCGATGAGTAAATCTTCGGCCGTTCGATCGCCGGGACACATTGGCTATCTACGGCTATCTTTCAGCTTTTGCGGATTCACCCGGCTCGTATCGCCCTTCTCCGTGGGACAATTAAATCACGCGTGCTCGTGTTCGATGTTTGTAATCCGAAGGATTGCACGAACCGTTTTTAATCGACGCGGTTCGATGTTTTCAGAGCGAAATTTAACGGACGTGAAATAAAACGTATTAAGAATCGTACGATTGAATTACTTCTAAATGTAACTTCATTTTTCTCTTTAACATGGAAAGTTATAATATTTATTGAGTACAACGAAATTGATGAGACTACTCCTGCTACCTTTTTAAACTCTGACGTGAAAAATCAGAGCTATACGTTGCCCGCCTGAGGACTCAAGGGCCTCGACATAAAATTGAAAAATGTGAGAGGAATTTTACCGTCCGGAGGGTGGAAAATATTTTTAGTTATCGGGAGACAGCTAATACGAAAGCGAGGTCGCACCGTCATGTTCGATACATTTAGAGGAAACAATTTGTAGCGCTGTATCCTGCACTCCCCGGATTCATGCACGTGCATACATACATACACTCCCCAGTTCGATGCTTATGTATTTATGTACACGAGACATTTCCAGGGACACGCAATACTGCGAGTCGGTGCTGTAACCGAGTTATTATTATACATAGATAAATCGATTGGTGATATTTCCGGCGTGGCTGCGAAGGACTCCAACCTCATACGGTTTTAAAGTTAGACGCCGGTTTAAGCAGCCACGGCTTATTAGACTGTGTCGGTTTTTATATCGTTTATAAGCTTGGATATTAAATATCGATCTTAGGGTCTCGCATGCGACGCGTTTAAAGAAGCGTGGGAGCTAAAGTTCGACGGGTACGATAACTTGGAGGGGTGTAATAATATTTTACAGGAGTCTTTAATAAATTGTGCAAACACGGAATATAAAGTCGCGAGTATATTAGGCGAGATTGAGATAACTTCACCTTTTTCTCCTTTTCGCCGGCGCAATATCTTCTTCCCCTTTTACAAAGAATATTAACTTCACGGGTCGAAAAACGCAATTTGTATTAGGGGATATTGCGTAGAGCTATGGAATCGCGAAATTTTCTTACAAAATCCGACCACGCAGATTGCTTCGCTACAATATTAAATGAGTGTATTAAACTTGTAATATCGGATGGATGTAAATTGTATTCTTAACGCTTTGAGTTGTTCTCAGATAAGAAATTATCATTTTAATGGAAAAATTTACACGGCTCCGACTGTTGCATTATTAAAGTAGAAATTATCGGTGTACGAATTATTTCATTTATACAGTTGTCGTCTACTCATCGTCCTATTTACTATTCAATTTGCATGTTCCACATGGCATTTCTAGATGGCATTTCCAGATTTGTATTTCCAGGATGGTTGTCGTACCAATAATAAATTATTTCTCAATGTCGTCAAATATAAACACATTTATTTCAGACATTTGTAAGGAAGTTTTGTGTTAAAAATTCCTTATGACTGAGGAAACAAGTCGAACAATTTTATAAACCTTATTATTTTGTAACTATCATTTTTTCTATAAGTTCATTGCTTCAAATATTGAACACTTAAACTTTTGACAGAGATCTTACGGCTCATACAACTTTAATTTTCACACCGTTTTACAAATCAGTATATTAATAAATAAATAAAATCGTTTTTTAACGCAAAAATTTCGAAATTCATGTTCGGTATCGAATATTAATGTATTGAACGATATCGAGTATTATTATTCCTGGATTTCACATCCATTAGATAAAAGGGCGAATTTAGTGATCGGTTTTTGGTTACGGAACTCGATGCAGGAAGTTCTGTTAGTGACTGATAGCTTGTCTGCTCATCGTGTTAATAATTTATCGGGATGGGGACCAAAATGGAAGAAACGAAGCGGTATTGATATGTACCGTGCGACGCTCGCAATTTTCATCCCGAATCGACCGATAAACTTCCTTTACTACCACTCGAACGAACCGTTTGATTCGTTTTAACTGTTATTCGCTTTTCCTCTGCGATTATTTATATCTCCGTCTGTCTATCTTCATTATTCATGCCCTACTTCGTATTAAGGATGTCAAGTCAAATTGCTAGCGCTTAAGCGAAGAACTGCTGTAATATAATCTTTAATCAACATGAAATCACAATCCTTTGAGTGCCGTGCGACATTCGCAATTTTCATCCCTGGATTCCGAATCGACCGATAAACTTCCTTTACTCCAATAAACTGTGTAATTCGTTTTTACTTGTCAGTCTTTCTCTATGAGTATTTATCTTCTCGTCTGTCCATCTTCATCGTTCTTATTTTACTTTAAATAATATTTAAGATTCATATTTCGATTCCTTGTATTTATGAAATGAGAGACTTACCTAATAAATTCTTTAATCAAAGTGGAATTACAATCTTTGAGATTTTCATTTGCATATTTGATTACTTGTAAAATATTTCAATGATTGCATTTTACGTTTAATATCGAGGCGAGACAGCAATTACTGTGCGCCATTAAACAGTAAATATTTTTCAAAGATGTTTGCCTTCGATAAATCTAGAGAGAGAGCTGCTACGGGAAGATTGCAATTAAAAGTTTACGGTTGCCAGTTAGTCGCAGCAGCGTCTCTCAAAGGATGCCGACGGAATTATATGAGGGGAAGGAAATTTCATAATGAACATTGATCTGAAAGGCTCTTGGCGCGAAATAAGCATGTGAACGGGTATGGGATTTTACTTGACGTCGCGTCTGACAAAGCTGAATGCTTCGAGACCTCTCGAAGAAAGAGATAACAGTTCGGTTCGGAACAAGTTTGTTTCCCAAGAACGAGAGTTCGTTCGAACGAGAGATCTCTCAAGCTGTACTAGCAATGATTTTTATTTCATACCGACTTCTCGCTATGAACATTTCGAGAGTCATTAAATCTTCTCTTTTAAAGAAAAAAAGTTCTTTAAATTGGAATCTCTTATAATGCGCAGGTCAATGGAATTGTCTGCCATAAATTTTTCCTTCGAATGAATTCATTAGACGAGAAGTATAGAGCGTAGAAATACTTTTCAAGAACGAATTAATGTTTCGAAGAAAAAATAATAAGAAACGCTAACTTCATTTGTAGCGTCTCATTAAACTATCATTTGAGACTGAAGTTATTACCGGCATCTGGAAAAATGTGGGGGATTCAACGGAACATAATTCGGTGGCCTCGTGTTTCAAAAGTACAGATCTTGTAAATAGTTTCACTGGAAGCATCGACGATTTGAAGAAGGGAACAGGGAATACAAGTCGAAAGGCATCGCTTTAATTCCCTAAAGAGGATTAACCATTCCGAGGCCCCGCGTTTCGTCAAGTATGCGAAACTTTTCGAACAAGAGCAGCAACAGCCAGCCTGGATGCATCAAAGGGGGATGGAATTCGATAGGCGACTACGCTATACAATCCCGGCCGGTGTAGTACGAATAAACAAAAGTTTCCTCCTAACTCGAACCTAACTCGACTTTAATAATGTTACGTAACTTAAGACGGCGGTCGACCGTTGTTCCAACAGGAAATAATAAAAAGGAACGGAGGAATCGACGGGGGTTTCACAGCGGCGAGGCTGGATCGGCTTAATATCATGGCGAATCGTAGCCTGGGTAAATATCGAGCACTTACCGTCTGTTTCTTCCCCCGCGCGGTGTCCAGAGCCGCTTGGAACCAGGACCATTGATTCGCCGGATCCTCGGTGTTATTGTTCGTGCCGGTCCCGATACGCTGGAGCATACGGTTGTCGGCGGTGTTCAGCCACAAATTCGTGTTGAGCAAGATGATCCGATACTGTTCCGCGCGTTGCTCGATCATGTAATATCCGGCTGTAACAAGTGCGCGAAATAGTCGAATGAGTCCGATGGCCGCTGCGTTTATGCGGAATAGAAAGAGCCACGCGATCTTCCCGCAATTCCGCGCGGGCTCGCGCCCACCGTTATTGGACTTTTACTGAAACGCAAGCGAACGGGTTGATAGGAATAACGGACGTGTCGGAGCCCGTCGTCGGAGAAATGTTTGTTTAACCAGAATTGAAAGTTTATTCGTTCGCGTGTTCGTAAAAACTTGAGGGGATACTCGAAACGTAGAAATGGTGGCTGATTGGCAGCCAAGTAATACGCTTATGTAGGTCCGTGCGTGGTAGACGAGACAAATTGAGAAAATATTGATTTTTGGTATAGTGTAAGTAGCCGACGTGAATGTGAATGTACGGTTTATTATAGCGATTCTGGCGGAAAGATTGATGATTCGATAAAATGGTTTGTATAAAGAAGTATTAATAAGGTACGAAGGAATGCAGAGATTGATTGCTGTTCGAATTCGAATGTCAGCTTGAAAGAAGATAATTAGTACATAAAATAAAGTTAATAAATAGTAAATAAGTAAGTTAAAAATAAATAAATAAAATATATTAGTAATAAATACAAACTCGTTACGTGAGCAGTGAAATAATTCCTGAGTGCAGTGTCTATTTGATATAAAAGAAAAGCGCATGATAAAAATAAAGAATGAATATTGTGGAGACGAACTGTACGAGAACAATTCATCTACGAATGATCGAACACACGTTTTCCCAAAAGGCCCCGCTTCAGGTTTCCATCCAGCTTTCAATTTAATCCGATTTCCACACCGCTGTTGCAAAATGCTTTCGCATCGGCGAAATATCTCTCGATATAACGTATACGATGTAAATGCCGGACGGTGGCCGGCGCGACGCGGTCCGATGTAGTACCTACCGATTTTAAAAGTGTCCAAAGCCTCTTGCGGCAGCCAGTGCTGCCATAGGTCGGCCAGCTGGGAGAAGCTGACCCCGATGTCGTCGTGCCCGAGCGCCGGGAACACAAATTGTCCCTTGAACGTGCGGGACAACAGATCGGTCAAATTCCGCAAACACTGCAGACGCAGCTCGGTGCTCATGCCGGTAGTCCGCGTCAACGCGTCTCTGCAACAAGTAGTTACAGGCTCGTTAGTCTGCTCGTTACGTAGTGCCGGGGTCAGGCCCGCGAGAATTACTCCGATTCCGCTGGTAAACACGAAGAAACGACGCGACGCAGGTCCATGGGACGAGTGCAAATGCAAACGCGACGCTGCTAATGATCGTTTGGATTCGAACCGTGAACAAGTACAATCTGCTTCGGCGTTATTGTGCTCGCCAAATAGACCCAGCCTTCGTTTTCGAAAAGAAAATCTTGAACTAGATATACCATATACCATTGGTGGCAAGTATCTTATTTATTCCGGTATATTAAACGTTTTCATCGCCACAAATGATGTAAAAGGGTCTTGTGTGATAATACAGTATTTTTCAATTATTATGTTTCATACATTGTAAGCAATATTATTTCTTATGTATTGTTTATATACTTAGGACTCCACTGATATACTTTATTTCTTTGTACATATTTTTATACTTTTTATATTTTACTAAATGGTATGGAAACTGTTGAAGTGACCACAAATGGGCTCCGCCTACGCTATCTTCCCTGAGGAAGATTACGGTGGGATTTGCGTGGACCATTTTCGAACTCAATTAAAAGTGGTTACAAAATCGAATAAAAGAAATCGAGCAGGAGACCCGCGCATTGGTGCCCTCGGTATGTACCGCCGGCGGGTAGCTAATGAGAGAGTCGAGGAACTTTGTAAGTGGGAATGTATTGCGGCGCGCCATTACAAAAATTGCTGCAATTAGATCTTCTTAGAGACCGGATTTTTCTTCCGGGCGAGCGCGAATTTCGTTCATTAATTTTTATTTGATGCGGAGTATTACAGTGTTCAGATTCGTCGAGAGTTGGAAGCTTGCTTACGTTTACCATTTTAAACTCGGCCCCTGCGACTTGCGGTGGCTCCTTAATTGCGGCGAAATTTCATATTCGCTTTCTCGACTCGGCTTAAAATTCGAAGTTAAATTAGAGCTCGTGCCCGGCCGAGTCCAGCGACTTAAGACAAAACACATAAATTCGCGGATTACACGTATTGTATATACGTAATAGCTGTAATTCGATGGAACGATTAGATGCGAAATTCGAAACGCGAGATCAAAAGGTTAATTAATAGTTCGGGGAGTCGAGTGGTACAAATCGAGCGAGGTAAGACGAAGAGTCGCGTGTGCACACAAATCGCTGCGACCTAATCGGCAACCTACAAAGTTTCAAATGCGATTTACAGGAAGTCCATTAAAAGCGCAGTCACGATTGAAGCTTTTATACATCAGATTATCGAATATCGCTTATTCGTTTACGAGTTTCTCACAATCCAATAGTTAGTTTTATATTTAATTTTCACTTCCTTTCATTAATGGGTTTTAAACGGTTAAATATAGATAAAAATTTTGAATGACTCAGAAATCGACTACGGGTCAGTGGTTTCGACAAATGAAGTTGAAATAGTAAAAGATACTATGGATAGGAAAATTATACGTTTCATGTTACTCCACCGAGTAATCTGGGTTGTTCGTGCAAGCGTATAATATCAGCTTGATATTATAGAGTTGATGACGAAATATGATACTAGTCACGTGAAGTTGGAGGCAGCCTCTGAATCGACTTGGAGTACAGATTTGCGCGAGTCATTGTTTCCCAGCGAAATTTATTCTTCAAGATGTAATAACTTTTTTAATAGACTGGCAAAATTTCTAAAATATTTTAGTGTTTNATGTAAAGGTTCATACAACCTCAATAATAATCGAATGAGATTCAATAAATGATGTTTGCTCGGTATGGATTTGAATCTTTGAGAGATGAAATCGTCAAATCGAATAGCAGTTAGCGTGGGACTTCAATAAAACACTAGCGTTCGACTCTATAATTTTCTATTACCAACGAGCTGAAGAAACGATTATGAATGCGAACAGGTGATACGATGGGGTGCGATAAAATTATACCAGTATTAATCTATCCCTATTGGATCGCGCGCATCAAACGGAATTATCAACCGTTCCGAACAATTTATTCATAAGTGCATTAACATTCGCAGTAATTCGCGATCGACGATAAATCGATCAAATGTTATTGAACTGTCGAGCTGCACAGTTTAATTTATACAGCGAGACATTAACGCTCGCCCCCGTTGCGCCGCGCAAACATCAAGCTCCGCGTTCGATTGCAATCTTGTTTCTCGAGTTTGTCAATTATCAATTATCGGATTAGCTTACGAAACTAAAGACTAATCAGTTTTCGTTGATTCGTCAGCCAATTTGCTAATTGCCACGGCAAGCGTTCGTACAAATTATTCGCGGAGAACGACTCGCCGTTCAATCGAACGCTCGTTAATTTCGCGTTCGATTTCTATTTCTATTCCCGTTTGACCCACGGTATAAACACATCCGACAATTGTTGTTTGCCATTTTCGAAACTCGCTAGCAATTAAGTGACGCCCGGCCAAAATTTAGTGCCGTGTCATTGCCTATCTGTGCTTTATTAATTGCTTTCTGCTATCGAATTTCGCGGACTCGAAATACGCGAGGCACGGATATCGAAAGCGTCACAAATACTCGCGACGTAATTAATCTGACTTTCTTATAATTACGCCAAGATTCACCCATAATTATCGGGCTCGTATTTAGATTTAATTATAAACTTTAATAACGAGACAAGGATGATCTACGTAATTAATTACGGCAGTACGTCACACGTTAATTAAATAAAACTGTCGAACGTGTATTAATTATGTTTACGGTAGTTTAATTTAATTTATAGAAAATCGAACTCTCGCATGGACAATTCGCACGATGACTGTGAGTAAACTCTGCTTTTACTTGAATCACGTTCCACTGATTCCAGGATTTCAACGCGAAAACCATAGTTTTCCTTTCGTTTAATCTTTATCCACCCCTTATAAGCTCGTTCCCGTGTCCCGCACGCAATCTGCTCGTGGTTCGCGTTTAATTCTCGACACCCGGCGAAAGAGATGATTTATTCGGTACCGGGGGCACCTTATCTCTAAAGCATACTTTATACTGTTAACACTTTTCGATGTACATTAATGAATAAGCAATTATAAGCCCGTTCTTAACGACATAATTCAAGCTTGCCAATCTATTCACCATTTTAATCCGCTGTAAAGTGGATCAAATGTGGACTTATGCTTTTTCCTAGTCTTGCGTTTTACCATTGAATTCCAGAATAATAGCCTTCGTTGTAATAATTCGTTAATAGTGAGAAACTCGTGTGGATAAAAATCAGATATGAAATGCTTCCTTGACATCCAAACTAATAGTCTCTATCTATCTAATAGCATTCGGTAGCAGATGTCTTATCTCTAAAGCATACTTTCTACTATTAACACTTTTCGATGTACATTCATGAGTAAGCAATTCTAAACCCTTTCTTAACGACGTTATTTAAGCTTTGCAGTCTATTCTCGATTTTTAATACTAAACCTACTGGCAGTTTTTGATATATATTTTGTACACTTGAATGCAATTTAACGTTAGCACTGGTACTTCAGTTTGGTACCAGTTTAAATAATAATTATAACTTTAACAATACAACAAAATAATTTTTGTTTTCTTCTATTTTTTTATAGAAGAATTTACGTTTTCTCTTGCTCTCCTATTTTATCATCGAGATTTCAGATAATAGGTTTCATTGTAATAATTTCTTAACAGTGACAAATTCGTGTGGATTAAAGCCAGTTAGCAGCTGCAGTCAGTTCTTATCAAACACTTCTTAGGCCACCCACACCACTCTCTCCCTACCTATTCAATAGCGTCGCGTTCGAACCGATAATCCTGGCGAGTTATTCGGTTAGACGAACTTCCTACTTCGTGATTACCATCCAATTAATGTCCGGTGAACGTAATTGCTTGCGAGCTTCTTATCTGGCCAGGATAGTCGACTAAACGATCAATCGACCGCGAACAGGAAACCAGAATTGTTTTCGATCTCCCCGACAACTACAGTAGAAACCGCAAGTATTGGTCAGACGAACTCGCCGAAGGATACAATCCACCGCAGAAATATAGACGACTGTTTCTATTACCCTCGAGGGAGAAAATGCTTCACCGCGGAATCGAATTTTTTAACGACAATTTTATATCGAACGAAAAAGGCATTTTTTATTACTGGAGACGTTATTATACTAAGTGCACCGATTTTATAATTGTATAATACGAACAAATAATTTACTGCATAGACTGGGGGTTTGTTTAATGCGTTAAAAGCTCCAGGGAACACTTCCTCAAGGAGGGAGATCTCTATTTCACGTGTACTTAAATCCATGGTGCATGTATTAACATGAAATTTTTAGAGCGAGGCGTATACATCTTTTCGTGTATCTAAGTGGATTCGTTCTCTCGAGTAAACGCATACATGGCTAATAATCTATATACACATGCACGAGCCCGGCGAGCGACGACGACCTCGCTACGAATATATTCAAACGTATAATTATCCGTGTATAAAGGGCGCGAATTCTCTAACGCGCATTACATTTTTTTATTTACTAAATTTACAACTAAAACAACGCTTGCTACCATTTACGTTTAACATTTGTGATAAAAATTGTACTACAACTTTTTGATGAAAAATACTTATAATCTGTTTATATGCTAAATGTTGTAATTTCATGTTATAAATTTTATGCAGTGTTTTCTTTTTCGGATAATTTTATATGCGATATTAAACCAGTAGAAGTTGTGACGTGAACACAAATTGGGACATTTACTGTCATACATATACTATCATGATTCAGGAATCGCAGTTCGCAAATCGTTCTGAGATGCATGTTTATTTTCAAATCAGTTGGAGAACTCACCCTGTCCAGAGTATAAACTTGACACCGTCGGTACTACGGATCGACATTTCCTTGGCCGCCGATTCGATCAGTGCCCAGGGCGAGTCGCATCCATAATCTCCGAATTCTCCCGGTACTATAGTACTGCGACCGTTGTTAGTCTGTTTCCCGTTCCTCGGATTCCAACACGCTAGCAAAAATGAAACGATGCATTGAGATATTATTTAAAAAATAATAATTCTTATTAGAAAACAATAAGAGAGGTATGCATGATCGGCATATGTTTATAAACTTCCTTAGACATGCTAGCAAAAATGAAACAGCAATGATGCACTGAGATGTGAGTTATAGATAATATTAAGTACATAGTAATAAATCAGATGAATAAAAAGAAATAGTAGTTCTTATCAGAAAGTAGAAACATAATTCTATATGATCAACATACATTTATGATAATCGTATGAACTTCATTAGACATTAGAGAGCTAAATTTTTTACTCCCAGTAGATATTTAATTCAATATCGAATGACATAAATTCTATTGATATTAATTTTTAATTTAATATTATTAAACGCTAATATTTAATTGATATCACGTTATATTAATATTAAATATACAGAATAAATAGATATAATTCATTGAATAAAAGCTGAGACTTTTAATTTTGAAGTCAAATATTCGTTTAAAAATTCGTGGTATTAAACGAAAGTCCACAAGAGTTTGTTTGGACAATCTCCATTGAAATTAGTTACAGTTATTTGAACAGTCGATAATAAGAAATTGAACGTTTGAGAATCCGAAATAAAAGAAGATACGTGTACCTTGAAAGTATGACGGAGAACCGAGCTACTTACCAGTTTCTGGCCTGTAGGTGTAGTATTGCGGGTCGTAGTGGATGTCAGTGATGTGCCAGAAATACCCTGGAAGCAAAGGGAGAGTGAGAGGGAAACGGGGTCGTTCTGCGTTTCGGCTTCTATTTGCATCCACCCTGTCTCATTTGCATTCACCGTTTCTTTTCAACCGTAAGTCGACGTAACCTCGCGTCCCGAGCGAGACGACGGCGGCGCGGCGCAAAGCCGACGAGCGAAGGCGCAGGTTTCACGCCGCGGCCGAATTCGCATTTTCCGGCGCGTCGAATCGAATCGGGGCGGATGGGATCGTCGGACGTAAAGGCGGATTGTTTTAAATCAATTGCCACGGCTCGCTTTTCTAGCGGAGCTACTTTGCAAGGTAATTAAAACCGGCGATCGATCCGACTCGAGATTGAATTGATCAAAACGAACCAGGTCGGCTACGAATGCGAGCTGTTCATGCGACTCCAAAGTTGCAAGTGGAAATCTAATGTTCCGACTGGCCCAGAGATTGGATCAATTTAATTAACAGCGTTCCTGTAATTCTGTTTACTTGTTATCAGACTGACGGATTTTCTGCTTTTGTAAGAAAACTGAATCTGCAAAAAATACGAACGGTGCGTGTAGTCTATAAAAATACAGGAAATATTAAAAGCAGAGTGCGCGTTGCGATATTTAAATTATAGAAGGAACTTTTATTTAAAGCACATCCTTTGAACCGGTGCCGTTAATATTTTACTTTGTATAAAAATCCGCAATCTATTTACACGTTATTTTCCATTTACCTAATTTATATCTTATCAATAAAACATGGAAATTGCTAAGAGTAAAGCTTATTAGTGGATGTCGCAATGTTTGCAAAAAAATTCTGTTTCGCATCAGACAGAATCTCGCACGTAATTTCCCGGTTGAATGACTTAACGGAAATGTTTCCGCTCTCCCAAATCGAGCATTGCTAATCGTGAACTACGTAAATTGAAATACTTCGTAATGCAGCCGCGGCTTTGAATTAATTTTACCTCGAATGGAATATTTTACGGAATCAAAGCACGACCTAGCCAACTCTTTACACGACCTCGGGAAAGAAAGCGGGAACTCCCAGCGAAGCGATAAGACAGGGAGGGAGGAGTTCACGCGCGGAATTGGGCCACGGAAATTTTTGATAACTTTATCGCAACGTTTTTGCCGTCGGTCACGTCACCCAGTTAGCTCCGTTCGTAATTAACCGTAACTACGGCGCGGCGTTAACGTATCGCCATTACCTGTCGAATAAATTCTGTCGTCTCAAAGAACATCGGCCTGTGTTCGATGTCAGAAGTTTCGCTTCTGTTAATAATTCATCTCAAGCCGGGCGATTCGTGTAACGCGAAGTGAAGCGACTGGGTCAGTTTCACGTACGACGCTGTTTTAAAAGCTTATATTTGTAGCTGCAGATTAAATGGAGTTGTCAAAACGTATAAACGAATATCAGCGACAAACAGTATTTCCTTTATATTGTCGATCTAAAAGGTTTCGAGGACTCAATTTCGTAAATGCATAAATGGAATAAAAGCTTGCCAGTTGAACTAAAATAGAAGAGACCGAGCAATACTAGTTTGTCTAGAAATTGGTTACACTAAATTGTGGTCATCTGATATCGCGTGACACTCCAAGGAAATGTAATTACTGCAGTATTTTTGCATATAACAATTCATCAGGTTCAAAACTGACCATCGCTAAGTAACGCAAAAAATTCATTCAATATATTAATAAACATAAAAGAAGCCTTTAGTAATGATTTTGTTTATAACTCTTATTTAAGGTTCGTCATGATAGTAAATTGAATGATATTAAATTTTACTCACCTATTTTTCCTTGTACCGCGCACAGCCACGAAAGTAGTACCAGATAGTCGCGAATCATCTTTCCAGGTTCGAACCTGAAACCATACGAATTGATCGTTTAAAACTTTGTCCGACTGCACTTTGGAAATCTTATAAGAATATTCCACGGCGTTAATAACAAAAAAAAAAAGAAAAACACCGAGTCTGAATTGATCTAACGTTATAAAAGAAAGTTGAAGCAGAATTCAAAGATGTCTTATGAAATTTCATGAATTCACGGCCGCTGCACTGACGGCGCGGTCTGTTCGCCCGGTGGTAACAGCGTCAGCAGTAACGGGCTTCAATGTTAATCCGAAATTTAATTTCGGACGGTCGTCTTGCAAAAGTGCCGTGACGCGGATCATAAAAACACTTTGCAGGGCCCTTTCAGAGGGTAACAAGCGATCTCGTAAAGACGTCGACAAACCAATAACCGGTGTTCGTGGGTCGTTTGACGACACAACAAAGCGCTGACGCAATGCTCGAGTGCGCATAAATACGCAACGTCCGGGACAGCGAGAGGTACTCGATAATTTGATCCTCGTGTAAAATCAAATTTTCACGAACTCATATTTCTCCGGCTCTGTTAATGAACTTTAGAATCTATCAATTATTAAATATAAATGTTTATTGTGGAAATCATTTTTTATAGCCTAATTGTGAGAGAATTGTGTCTATCAAAATCATAGCAAACATTCAGTCTTCTATGTGGACAAAAATATTTCATACAAATTAATTTATATAAACGAGTTCCTCATATTTAAATGAGAAATGAAGAAAATGCTTGGTCTTCACAGAGCAATCTTCTATCTCTTAAATACAATTTACTACACCAAGAATGAGTCAAACAACGAAACATCACGCAAAAGCCAAGTTTAAATTACAAATGCAGGAGCAAAAAGCATATTAAAGCATTTTCTGTCGCTCTGTAGTGTAACAGTTGCACAAAAGGCGTGACAATAAAAATCAGTTCAATTAAGTCTCGTTGCAGTGAGACAAATTATTATAATAGAACCATTATAATTATACGAGGAATATCAGGCATGGTCGACGAATGTCTCGTGTTGATAATTCAAAGACTGTCAATATTTAACGCCGCGATGAATACTTTACAACCAGCGAAAATGTTAAACGTTGGTTCGAATCGCCTCTTATTTGCCGCTCATTACTCTTTCATGAAGAGCGGTTTCCGACGAAGCGAACGTAACGATGCCTCCGAGCTTTCGTGACTGCTTGCCGCCTTTTTATTTCAAATTTTCACCCTCCGTGGATTCCGACGTTAAAACCGAGATAATCGGTCGCGATCATCTACGTTTACCCTATCCCAACTCGGTCATAACTTCTGAGCAATAAACTCCCCTCTTTAGGATTAGCCTTCACGTGTATCTACACTTTGTTTCGAAACATTAACTAAACGCAACCGTTCGATGGATTATAGTGAATTCTTGTTGTTCTTCTTATGAATTATTACACGGTTTAAAAACTTCCCCCTTATACTCCTTATTTATTGAATTTATCATGAGTACAAAATAATGAATAAATTGGTACATGGTACGTTTAGTGTTAAATAATGAAAATTGGGAATGCAAGTCTGTTGAGAATGAAATATACAGATCGATCAGAATGAAATATTTCAAAATTGCAGTCAATAAGGGGAAAAATGTTTCGCTTATCTGCTTCGTCTAAGTAGGTTGACTAACGTTACTTACGAAATTAACTCATTAGCTCTCAGTCACGAAGGGACGAATAAATTCCCACTGCACGTGTCGACCAACATTGATAACGTTATGAAATTTTGAGAATATAAGTAATATTCGAATTAACTACCGACCTCCTTTTATACATGCAATTCTCCATTCAGAACCAGTCACTGGTTTAGTAGTTCCAGTGTTAATTCATCAAATTCATCAAATTGGAGAACATAAAGATATCGTGTTCGATTTTTTTTTTTATAAAAATATTCTGAACACCAGGGGTATTAAAATTTTATGAAATTTAGATTGGCCGTCCGAAATTCTGTGAACGGTACGTCCGCTGCATCCGGGGCGCACCATAAATTGTAATTATCTATTAAAATGTGTATCGCGATATCAGTCCGTTCCCGGCTTACACGATTATAATAAATATATTCAAATGAGTAACGGCGATTTAAAGAAATGAATTGCGAATGTAGATACATAAATGCAAGCGCTTCCCCGATCGGGGATAAAATTAATAAAAAGCTGCAGCCGATCAGTTTAAACCGTTCGCAAACGCAATACAATTAATAGATGTTATCAGAAAAGTTTTGTGCTTTACACTTTGGAATGGTATGCATATTCCCTTTAGACGTCCTTTGGACTAATTGAAAATCTTCAGCGGACGACGGGAGAGAACTATCCGCTCGTCCCTTTAACTCCCTTCATTTGCAGACTCATTCAGAAACAGCGATCCCTTAATTGTTCCGAACTGGCGTATTTACACGCGTTCTCTCTGCGCGAAACTTGAAAGTAAACTCGACGAAAGCACGCGTGCCGCTCCGAATCGAATTTCTGAGAACGTTTAATTACCTCTTGGAGTTGGGCAACTTCGCCGATGCACAAAATACAGTGGCCTGCACGTAGAGGTTTAATCCCGTTTCCGGCGCGGATGCGGGCGTTTGGGATTGACACGTTCAAATGGATACCGTTCTTTCACGCGTGCACGCGAGCGCATCTCACAGATTATGCAGGTCGGTCGGGATATCGTCACGGCCGCTACTAGGAACCGGAAACGGTGAAACAGATTCGATCATGCCCCGGGCACCGTGATTATACCAACTACGTGACTATCTGCACCTACCAACCCGCGCAACCGCGATGCATTAACCGATGCCCGGTTCGAAGCGATGCGAAATTAATGCGCGGCCCATGTTCGGCCTCTGTTCTTTTCCCCACCTTCCCCGAAATACACCAGACTTTCATTTTACACGGTGTCTTTTTATACGATTTTAAAGATACACGGCTACCATTAACACGATTTTTTTAAAACAGTTTATTTAGAGAAGATAGATTAGGTGCATTGGTACTGAATGTATGTCTCAATTTTTCAGATTTTCTGTTCGTGTTCGTGTTCGTTATATTTACAAGCATGAGCAATATTATCTGTGATCTGTCTAAATTTGTACTATATTTAATTCGATCCATAATCGTTTCAAGACACGAGAATAAATTCAAGAAATACTATTGTACGAACGGGGAAAGCTAATAATAATGAGAAGAGGAAATGGAAATCCATTTCTTCGAAAATGAAAATAGATCTTCTGCTCTATTTTATTCACAACCAAAAATAATGAGAGATTTATGGGTTCATGGAATTACCATTACAAAAATCTTTTCATGTAAGGAAGAAAAGTATAAAGGGTCTAATGTGCTTATACATTTCTATGCGACTAGTACATGAAATTATTCAGTCGATGTAAAAAAATTCGGCAAATAGTAATTTTGCTTTGCATTATGCACGGTCCTTCCACTTGAACGTCCAATAAAATTGTGAAACGTACATGCGTCCTTAATGACGCGATTGAAAACGATTTACGAAACGGGTATGCGAATTCAGCATTGAATACGGTGTGATTACACGGTGAAAAATAGATAGCGCACAAAGTGGGCAACGCGGTGGGAGAATTGCATTATCGTCGCGTCGGATTGCTTCCGGTGAAAAGAAATAGTCGGTCGGAAATACGCGCATTAGCGGCGCGAGCGACGGCGCGATAATAAATTCGCAATTCCGCCGAAATTTTCTCGCTTACCGAGCACGTGGCCGCGTATTGGAAATGATCGTGCATCTCGATGGCGCGCGATTTCCAACGGACGCCCGGACGTATTGACATATGCATGCGGACGCGTGTATACACGGTCCGACGTAATCGAGCAGAAATGAAAAACTGCGACCGGCCAAGTGCCGCTCGAAGAGTGTGGCTTTTCTGTTTAATCGCTTTCACGGCGCGACTGACCAATTTTCCTACGATTCTCATTCATTTCAGAGACTCTCATAAAGCTCTTTGAATATTTATTGGTACACAGAATGAAATGAAGTACGTTCAAAAGTCTGTACAATACATTGGAATACAATCAGTGGAAACGATGTGTCCCGACAATCAACAGACCGTCGTTCATTTGTAACTCGGCCATTTTTAAAGATCAGCTATTTATTTAAGGATGTATTGGCTATACAGTCAATCCCAAAAGTTTATGCACTTTAGAAACGCATTTTTTAAAAAGAAATCAGATGTTGGAAGAACATTGCTAATAATAAACA